GAATTTATTGATAAATCATCATTATCTGATGATATTTTCAATTAAGAGTTCTTACTGATTGAGAAACAATTTGAATTTGAACATTACATGACGTTTCAGTTGACTCAGCAAGATTTTTTTATATTAAATTATAAATTTCTTCTTCATTGACAAGAATCTTTGATATAGATAAAGTAACAAATCTATTTGATTGTTAATTACGTGCTCGATAATTTTCTGATTCACAAATTATATCTGTTTGAGGATATCCAGTGACTGCACAAGAAATATATGAAACATAATCAATAGCAATATTGATTGGTAATCTAATTGTGTATGATTATATTTTACTATGCTTACCATTTCAATCTTGACGCCATCTCATACGATTAATGTCGCTTTTAATGCATTAGATGTATACTAATAAAGGATGTGGGTGTGAATGTGAGTGTTGATTCAAAGAAGACAAACACCGACATATCCACATCCACATTCTGTTTAAATAGCAAAAAAGTAGAAATTGTTTTAACACATCGATTTCACATTTCTGAATGCATGCGTAGTCATTGTGTTTATGATATTCATTTGAAACAAATATTTTGTTTATTCACTTATTTTACATTCAAGAAAATTTTCCTTATTTATTTTTATTTTTATTTTTATTTTTACTTCTTTTGTTGTAAAAATAAAATACATATCTAATTAAACACGAATAGCATAAGGAACAGATTGATCTTTCTCAGTTGAACTTTCTTCATTTATATTCGTTGTTGGTTTTTGTATTGCTGATCGACGACAATTTAATGATGTATCACGATTTTGTCGAAATGTTACTGATTGTAAACGATTTGATACTGATGCTGATGTAATCAATGTACCTGTGGGTTGTACTAATGATGCTAATGGTACAACTGATCGATAAGTCATATGAATATCAATTTGTCTCCAAATACGAACGATTTTATCTAATTCACGATCATATTCATTTTTATCGGTTTTATTTGGTTGAATAGAAAGTGCTTTCCAATTAATTGTTAAAAATGATTTAAGATCATGAATTATAGGTAAACCGATTCTAACACGTAACACAGTATGACCATAATTTCGGTAAGCACAAATAAAATCATCAATAAGTTTTGATAAACAATTATATTTTCCATTTAATGGTTTATATGAAAGATCACTACGACGACTTATACCTAATGCACCATATATTTGATCGTATTTAACACCGAGAATAACATGACGATATATAACTGAATTAAAACGTGTTTTAAATGATATATTAAAACGATCAAGACCAAGAATACCAGTTGTTAAATAAAGTCCAATTAAAAATGCTTCAAAACATTTTATTGGTAATGATTCTGTTATCCTAAATATCAACATAATATTATTTAAGTGAAAATTAAATGTATTATTATTTTTTATATAAATTCTTACATATGTCTAGCAGTATCCATTAGTCCGTATAAAGATCGATTAGGATTAATATCAAAAAATTGCATTCCAGTATAATTATATTCTAGACGTTGAATATAATTTTGTACTTGTTGTAATTTTTCTCGTACGGTCATTCGAGAATTAGTTGCTACATGATACGGTGGATCAGGGTATGTCACTAATGGAGAATCATCAGTTTGATTACGTATTGTTTGAATTTCTGTTACATCTAAGAATTTATTGACAAAGAAAGTCATATATTATTTACAATTGTAAATTGAGAATCTTTTGAATTGTTTGATGAAAAATAAATAAAAAAGGAAAATTGAGTTCATGTAAAATTTAAAATTTTTTAAATTAAAAAAAGAAGATGATTTATCGTCTAAGACTTGTTCTCAATTGCAAATAAAATAATTCAATATAGGTTTTTCCTTATTTCTTACAACAGAGATACTCTTAGATGATTTTAATAGAACTGCTTCAATGGAAATCATTAAAATGAAGGTCGCCGAATCCTTTTCGATTATATTAACATCTATTCAACTATGATAGAGACCGAAAATGAACCGAACACAAGGTAATTTTCGAAATGATAGTCGAACATAGTCAACCCTTAAATGAAAAATAATTGATTGAACAATAAATAGTTTTGCACAAAATGTAATGCAGTCGACACGGATAAAACAAGCTTGATTTGATTGTTTGATATCCTTAATTCTAATATCCATATAACACAGCCTTTTCTCGTCATAAAAGTTATACTAATTATATTTATAATGAAGGATCTGTAATCATGTGAGATTATATATTAACACTAAAGAAAACCTAGTGATACTTATGCATCAATATTAAAAACTTTTATTTTAACCAACGAGTGTATTAAACAATATTAACCAACATCAATATCAACTCCCCTGTGACACCTTAATCATATGATTTTCCAAATGTAAATCCCTACAGAATTGAGCTCGAAACAGTGAAATCCAATTCGATGCGGTCTCAGCAAAGTCTTCATTTTAAAGCTATGTAAAAATATTCGGTTTGAAATACTTACCGAAAGCTGAACATGTTCTCTGCATGCTTCTGGAATTTAGAAGAAAATTTTCATCCACTAAGAAAGTTGGTCTTATTTTCTGTCTTTTATCGAGTTTTGTAGCATTATGATAGGAAATTGTAAACAGATAAAAATAAAATTTTCAAATTATCGATTGAGTTCGAAATCAACATTTACAAGCGAAAAGTGTTCACAACTAATAGATGATTTCGAAAAATAAGATTCGTTTTCTAACAATCGAAGTTTATGGACCCTATAATTTTGTAACTCGAACAGCTCGATATCACTAGAAAGTCTGTATCACGTTGGTTACATTCACATTTAACATGCGTAAAAATTTCGAAGATCGAATGCAAGACAAAAAAATCAATCAAATGCACTTCTCATCACGAATTTTTATATGAAGTTGTAGAGTACTTTTCAGCCTTCGGTAAGTATTTTGAACGAAATTTCATAAATATAAAAACAAACTTAATGCAGAACTTTTGCACCACTCATTAAGAGTATTATTAGTATCAATAGATATAATATTAGAACGTTTTCTTATACTGCAGGTATCATTTCAGAATATCCCCGATAACTTTGGTCATCGAAATGTAGATTGTCGAATTTCGATAGAATATATACTTATTAATTTTTCTTTTTTTGATTATCATGAAGGAATATATCATATTGATCTATAATAATTACGATTTCAATTTGTGAAAAATCAACTACAATCTTGTTTAAGAATGTTATATAAAAAAACCAATTAATTCTATTATATAATTGGAATAGAGTAGACGTGTAAAATAGCAAAACAAAAAAAGAATGAAGAAGTTATGAACACGATGTAAGATTAGTAAATAAATATGAATGACTTACTATTTGGATATTGTTCCATACAAAAAGTCCACATTCGTTCATTACATCGATCTGATAATGGAAGACCATCTCGATTTATATAACATAGAATAGTATTACCACTTCGCATCGCCTCATATCCACATGTTGTTGTTGCCATTATTATTGACGAAACAACTCAACATTAACAAAAACGAAAATAACTTTGCGCAACAATCATACAAACTCATTTCAAAACAAAGATTGTCAACATCTGAAGAACAAATCAAATATTTGTTTTGTTTTCTCTTTTTCTTTTTGAAATATATTCATCTTATTTTATAATCTTAAATAGAACAAAAAAGTAAGAATAATTGCTTAACTCGATAGAAATTGAACAGCTGATTGTCGTCCATTTTAAATTCAACTTCCTTGGTAATCCTTTACAGGTATATATTAATAGTATAGATGGCACTATAAAAAGAAAATGTTAATTCTTCATTTTTATACTAAAACTGAAAGTGATTTAGGTTTTAAATAATTTGATAATTGATCTTATGTAGTGAATGAAGAAAAGTTCTAATAAATTTGAAAATATAAGTGTTTCTACTCCTGACAAATTTTGAATGGCTCAGACGCACGAAATCTTTCTTAGAGTAGTGAACTCGAAAGTTTATGTAAAAGTTGAGAGTGGAATACATCTATAAATATATATGAATCAGTAGGCAAAAAAAACACTCTTCAATTAGATCTTAATTGATAGAATACGAAATATTCTTTTAACACATGACTTTATACAAATAGAATAAATATCTATTAACTAAGATGATATGTTCACAAGTCATCTGTATTTTTAATGAAATTCATTAACGAAACTTGCTTTTAGTTAGAGCTCTGTGCGGGGTTAACTAAATTTTCAGCGAAAACATTTTATTGACTCCAAAATTGACTTCATGCAGGACTCTACTTATAGTATATTTTGCTTGCTTATATTGAGGAGTTTCGCAATAGAAACGACACTTTCAGATACAAATCACCGAGCTCTATTGGACACAGCTATTTTCAGTGTAGTTTAACTTAATTTTCACGTTCATTTTGTAGAAATAATGTGTTACAAAATTTCATTAGTAACTGAAAATCGTGATGTTTTTTTTTTGTGTCGAGTTATTAAACACTTTATGCTGTTCTTGTTCATAAATATACATCTATTTGGAACTACTATTGAAATCTAAATCAAGTGGAGTATTTGATTTATCAAAACTACGACTTTCATTTTTCTCGAAAAGTTTCTTTCCTTGGATTCTAATAAGAAATACATCATTTGACACCGATAACAAATATCTAATTGTTCTTGATTTTTTTTTCTGCTTTTATTCTGGTTCAAAGTATGACTTTTGGAAAATGGATGAAATTTCGCAACGAACGGTACTTTTTGTTCCATGCAAACATGCTTGTTATGAAATGGCCTGATAGCCTAAAAGTTTGTTCTAAATTCAACAACTTTTATGTAGAACATTTATTTATATGTTGCTTCATTTCGTAGTAAAGTGTTAAATTCAAAGCTTCAATAGGAAAACAAATTTCGTAACCTAGAGTAATTCTTTTTTTTTGTGAATGACTCAGCAGCAGCTAAGGAAAATTTCAGAATATTTGTTTCTATCACGATGAGGATATGCGTATTTCAATGAAAAGTTTCGTAACGCTAAGTCATGTCGTTTCTTAACACATACATTGATTAATATTATAATTTTATTAATCAATCAATTCTGATTAAATAGTAATCATTCTATCATATGGAAAATTTTATCATTTTTGTTTTATTTTAATTCTCTGAAGAATATTTTTATTTTATTTGGATTCTCAAAAAAACAAACTAAAGGAAAAGATTACATTTACAATAAATCCTAATCTTATTTTCATTGTCACAACAGCAAACAAAAACTACAATTATTTTATGTTTCATATAAAATATCACTATGACATTACAAAAAAACAAAAAGGAAAAGAAAACAAACGATTCAATGAATCTAATAAAGTCACGAATCTATTTCAAAAAAAAAACAAAAAACAAAAATCAAGTTAAAGCTTTTATATTGATTTTAATCAGTATGTTCTTCATGTACGACATGAAATATTTTTTGTAAAGTAATCGCAAATGAATTATATTTACGATTAAAACTATCTGGTTTCTTGTCCCATACTACACCAAATATATAAGCAGGTATTGCAGTTGCAAGAAGTAGTAAAGATGTTTTAATATTTTCAACATCAGTAATAGCACTTGCTCCAATAAGTGTTACTAAAATTATAATGAATATGATTGGTATTATTATAGGTATTTTAATTGGTCGTTCACGATCAGGATGTTTATAACGAAGAACAATTAAACCAACAGCAGTCAATAAAATACCTATGAATATGTTGTAAAAATTAGAAGAGCATAAAATTCAATTAAAATAAATTTTATTATTCTATTGATTCAAATAGAATTTCTTTTCGTATGAAAATTTCGGCAGATTCCATTCCATGATCTCTCAGTTCTGCTTCCATACTAAAATATTATAGTAACGTTAGATTTCATTTTTTCAACGTAGATTAATTTCAATATTTATACATTATTGATAGAAGAAATATCAAGAGGTGAATAGCGAAATCTCTAACGTTTCTAGAATTTTCTCCGACTCAATACGATGCCTTCAAATTCCCAGTACCCTCCTAAAAGCTTATTAAAAGACTCACATTCATTCTCATATTGTATTTATCTTGTCATTATTTCTTTATTACAGTAATAACTTATTTCACGATATTACTTATTCTTTTAGCATGCCTATATGTTATAAATGTCAGTATTTTATTCAGCGTGACGGTTGAAAGTAGCAGTACCCCTCCTGGAAGAGAAAATCTAAATAAAATATTAATATATGTTGATCATTTTTTTGTATTTTCTTGTTATTCTTTATTATATAAGTTATTCTCTTCTATATTTTAAATATAATCATGAATTATTATGATTGAACTGAGAAATCATCGAATAAGATCAAAACTTAGGTTAAATCTAAAACTTCTTATTCCAATTTAATACTTACAAGTCCAATTAATCATACCAACACATATAATTAATGTTCCAATATTTGACATAAAAAAAAGAAAAACGAAACTAATTATAATTTCAAACATAATAGCCATCATTGGCACATTTGATTTATAATGTCTCATTGAAAATATATGTGGCATTAAACCATCACGACCAGCAACTAGAAAAATTTAATATTCTTTTCTCTATATAAATAACAAAACAAATTCTCTTCTTTTTTTTTTTTACCATGAAACATTTGTACAACAGTAAAAATATTTCCTGATGCAGCTAAAAACCAAACGAAAGAATTTAATTTCTATAATCTTCACAAAAACAAAACATGATTTTTTTTTAACCTCCAACACAAGACATTGTCACACCAATTGGTATTATATATAAAAGTGGTGTAAATACACGTTCAGCAAAACTAACAGCTGTAGCATCTGATTGTAAAATATCATATGCCGATAAAGCCGTAAAATAAGAACTGAATGTTAAAAAATAAATAAGAATACATATTAAAAGTGATATAACAATAGAACGTGGTAAGAGACGTTTTGGATCTTTAAGATCATCAATTGCATTATTTAAATAATTCCTTTATTAAAGAAAATAAATAATATAGAAACAAAAACAAAAAATCTCGATTTATTAAATTCTTTACCATCCAGCATAAGGAAATAAACCAGCATAAAATGCACTTGGAAGTTTCTCATATGTTGAACTTTCAAATGGTTCAGCAAAATTTTCTACTCGACCAAGAATCATTCGATAAAAACCAGCACCAATAACAATTAATAATGAAGCTAAACATATCAAAGAAAACAAAAAAAAAAAGATAAAATTTCCAATAGAAAAATTAAATAATATCTTATTTAACCAATTTTAAAATAATTGCAAACTTGATGAAGTCGATTTGTCCATACAGCTGATGTTAAATTAATAAAACCAACAATAAGTAAAAGAAGTGATGATAAACATTTAACCAATATATCTGGTGGTGTACATGTTGGATAAAACCAATAGACAAGATAATTTGCGGCTGTTAATACACTTAATACAACAATCATTGGTCGTGATAAAACAACTTCAATCCAAACACGAAGAAAACCTGGAAAATTACCAAATGCAACTCGAAGATATGTATAATCACCACCTGATGATACATATGAACAACCAAGTTCAGCATAACAAACAGCTCCCTAAATATAAAATAGTTTTCTTTTTAAATTTTAAATATTTTCTTTCTTCTTATTTTTACCATAATACAAAGTAAACCACAACCAACCCAAACAATAATCGATAAACCATAAGAACCGGAAAATTCTAGTACAGCTTTAGCACTTATAAATATACCTGATCCAATAATACAAGCTAAAAGAAGATTAATAGCATCGAGTAAACCCATAGTTGGTTGATGTTTAGCTCCTTGTGATAGAGTTCGTACATTCGATGCACGATCATTCCTCGATCCAGCCATCTAAAATAAAATTTAAAAAAAATAATAATCATATTCAATACATTTTGTTTCTTTTCTTATTTCTCTCGTGTAAAAATTGTATAATTACTAGAATATGTAATTCTATAAGTAACTAATAAATAAAAAAACAAATTTCTAACAATAGAGATAATAGAAATTTTATCGATAACGATGAGAAAGTTGATAAAAAAAACAACAGAAGCAAACAGTGACTGATTGGATGAGAATGGAACCGAACGGTACTCTCTGATTCAATGCATTTTTCTTTTCTTTCTTTCTTTACTACACCAACACTATCGGTCACATATATATATATATATATATACAAAAGAAACCCAATGAATAGACTAGTAAAAAGAAAAAAAACGTACTGCTACAGAATAAGTCTGTTGTAGAAGAAGACATCGTTCTCAATAATAGAAAGAAGAAAAAAAAAAAAGAAAAGCAGCAAATAAAGAAATAGGTCATTTGTAATACCATCTCTCTCAGCACTTCTTGCTTATTCTATATATTATTAACGAAGAAGTGTCGTTTCTTTCTTATTAGACTAGTATCATACAGTGTCATAAAGTTCATCATCAGTAAATGCTATTTTGAATATCTTTCATCACTATTAATCAATCAAATCTTCGTATGATGATCAATTTACATATGAGCAAAAAAGAAAAGAGAAAATAGAATCGCATGTAAATATAAATCAAAGCTTAGATACATGTATAAAAAAGTAAAGCCTAGCATTATAAATATTGACAACATATACATCCAAGGTTCCAATTATCAAAGCAAATAAAATTTGAATGTTACTCTTGAATGTGAAAGAAACGAAAATTTTTTGTTATCTTTTTCTTTTTTTTTACACCTGAATGTTTCTTTTCATTAAAAAATCAAAAAGAAACATGATGCGAGACATAAAATATACATTCTTGAATTAAATCAAACAATGATACCTTGATCATATATGAAGTGTAAAATCTTGATAAGAATACAGAAATAATATTTCAATCAGAATTGTATAACTAACTCGATTATGAAGATATGTGTTGTAGATCGTATTGATCATGAAATTCTATCAGTAAATATTTTATATATATATATATATATACGATTATTAGTATTGCTGACAAGTTAGAAAATTAATATCAAACATTGAGACATATGTGACAAACGATTCGTATTTGCTATTTTTTGGAAAAAAATTTAATAAGTATAATAAATATTGATAAAATTAGTTATACAAGAATTGTAATGACAACTAGAAAATTCATTATACGAACAGATCTATTGATTGACAGCAAAAAAAAAGAATGAAAGAAACAATACATTTCATTTGTTTTCTTTTTCAATTATTCATAATTTACAGACTCTAACAATTGACAGAAAGTACACAGATGAGTGTATTAAATATGACTGAGAGAATTTGTTTAGTATAAAATCATTATTTACAATATATGCGTAAAAGACATAAATTTTAAAGGTTTATCCACTCAATCCATTGACTTATTTTTGTATTTGAATGAGAAAGAAAATAATAAAATCTTTGGTAAAGTTTATAGCTACAATATGGTTTCGTTCTCGAATAATTATATATTTTATGTATATATGATAATAATGATTAAGAAAATTGAACATACTTATGCTGAATATATATTTAAAAGAATAAAAATCAAATATATATATACAGATTGATTCAAAAGTCATCCGGACAGGCTTCGTTTTACGAATAAATTTGATAGAAGTAAGGGAGTTGTGATTTTCATTGCGATCGAAAGAGGCTGTATGATTCAAAAATGAAAATTGATGACTGAATTATCAGTCAGCGAACGTCAGAAGAATACTAATAACTCTATGAAGATGACAAATAAAGTTTAGTTCGAAGAAATGTACTCGATCCGCATACTCATAATCCATATCCAAACCTAAAATTTTTATCTTGATTCATTTATTTCTGAGAATTAAAACTTTTTCGTTATCTTCATAGAGCTATGAGTATTTTTCTAAAGTCCACTGACTGATAATTCGATTATCAATCTCTACATTGCTGAATCATATATGGAGCCATCTAGTAACACAACTCTCTCTATCTTGTTCTTATAGAAGGTTATTCACAATCAAAGACTACCGATTGACTTTTGAATCATACTGTATATGATGCTATTTTTGTTGATTTTTCCATGCTGTATGAAGTAGAATTATACCACGACGTGGTTTAGCTAATTCACAAATTCGATCTGTTGCTTGAACAGATAGTGCTTGTTCAGATACTGCTTTTGGAAGTATATAAGCATCTTTATAACCAGTTGGTGTGGTTTTTGGTTGAGCGAGTTTAGCTAAACGTTGTGAATATCGAGCTGTTAATGCTGCTGGTTTAACACCACTATAGGCATAATTTGTTATATTATCAAAAAATTCTATATATAAATAAATTGTAAAAAAACATAACAACAATTCTTTTTTTTTTTTTTGTTTCTTTTAAATTTTTAATTAAATTACCTTGTCGAATAAGTCGATCACGTTTTATTTTTGGTCTTGATAAATCTTCAAGACGTGCTGAACAAGATTTAGCACGTAATGTAGTAAATGGAATACCAGAAAAACGTGAACATGGACGACGTGACCATGGATGAACTGAATGCATATCATTATAATAACTATTTCTTGAAAAAACCGAATGATGTGTATCCATAAAATCGAAATGTTGTCCTGAATAATTACTCAAACGTGATGTTTGAGTTGAATGTCCATGACTTCGTAATCGTTTATCACTAGAGAAAATGAAAGATTCATATAAAATAAAAAAATAAAAAATTACTATTTTTATTGATTACTTCATTTTCTTCTTCTTTTTTTTTTCGACTTTAGAATATATAAATTTTGTAAAATAGTCCTTGGTTATTTTCGAATTGCTTACAAACACTTGCTCAACAACAAGAATAACATATAAAACAAAGGACTGACAACCATTCAAGTACAAAACAATATTTTTTTTTTTTTCTTTATGTTCGTTTTCTTTTTTGTTCTCTATTAATTCCATTTATGCAATGTGACATTTGCAATAAGTGATCGTTTCTAGTCTATTAAACGGAAATTCTTGTTTGAAGTATGTCGTTTCCGATATTCATTGATCTCTGAATTCTATCATCAGGATTTTCTTTCGAGAATATTTTTCATTATCAACATATTTATATAGTTCAATTTTTGTCAAGTAAAAACCTCTAAAGAAATAATTACATTTGTAGATGATAGAAAAAGAAAAGAAAATATAATAAGCTAGACTACTTTTTTTTTTTTTTCATCTTGACTAAACTGATTATATTTAGTCATTTCATCCATCTCTCTCTATTTATTTATTCGTCTCATTCTTTAGTATATTTTTTTCCTGTTTTTAGTTCAGATCGGCATGCAATGCAAGTGCGAACAGATGAATAGAAAGTCTAATCTAATTTAGTCTTATCGATCTAAGAAAAGAAAAGAAGAAAAAAAAAGGAAAATCTCTTTCATTTGTTCATATTTTTTGATTTTTGATTGTTATTAGACAAAACAAAAAATGTTTCTTAAATATCTTCTATTATTTTATGCAATGATATTTTTAACATATTCTCAATCAACTATTAATATTGCAATTATTGATGATATTGATTATCCAACAGGATTTCTTAATATTGTCATACCAAATGTAACATTTTGTAATCATCATGGTTTAATATTACGAACTCATTGGATTAATTCATCATATTCATTAATTGATCTTATTGATAAACTTGAATCACAAGAAAATCAAACAAATATTTATTTAACACGTACAACTAAATTTTCAACAAAATTAGTTCAAGATTTTTGTCAAACATATCGTATACCATTTGTTAGTATGCGTTCATATGGAAGTATAACAACAACGTTTGTATTCTAATTTTATATTAAATTTTTTTTCTTTTAACCTTTTTTTTCTTCTTTTCTAGATCATTTAATTATGAATATTCTGTTATGCCGGATATTCTTCATGTATTAATAAGTTATTTAAAATATCATCATATACAAAATGCTGCATATATTTATGATAATGATGAAGCAATATATCGTATATATGAATTAATTAAATTAATGAGTACTGATGAATATTTTAATGATTTTTCATTAAATATAAGAACAACACGTAATCAAGATGTTTATTCACTATTATATAGTATTGAAATTCATTCGATTACTAAAGAACAACCACCAAAATATATTCTACTTGATCTTGAATCATCTTTAGATTATGATAGAATGTTTAATAAAATTTCACATATGGGTTCGTATGAAATATTTGACTTTTTTTTTTTCGACTGTAGTAACGATGATAATCCTTCTTGGAATTTATTTGAAATCAATCATATTGAATTAAAAGAAAAGTTCATCGATTTGCATAAAAATCTAACAAATCTAACAAATCTCAAAAAACAAAAAATTCCGTTAAAGTCTTCCTTTACTCTCAAAAATCAGTCTTGAATCAGATACATTTAAATCATATGAAATTTTCAGCATACATTGAAGCTGTAGTAGAGAAGCTATACTAAAATGTTAAGTTCTATACTATGATTTTTTTTTTCTTGTTTGAAAGGGCATGCATCAAACTATAGTGCCTGATAGAGTACATTATTTCTAAACTTCTACTTTTTATGCATAAACAGAAACGGACAGAAAACATGGAGATCCAACTGCCAGCTATCCTCCTATGCCTTTATCTTAATTTCAATAATTCTAACGGAAATTGACATTTTTGTCGTATGTATTTCTGAGTCTATGACATGTCTAAGAGATTATCAACACTTCTTACTTTAAGATTTATTAAATTTACTTAGTTCTTGCAAGATATCTGTTGATAGTAAATAACTACATAATTACCATTGAACTTGAGAAAACTATAGTTTAAACAAATGAACTTCTTTTTTTTGATCTTCTCTAATTATACAAAAGTTAAAATCTTAACAAATTGTTTGAGTCGGTATTTTTAATCTATTGATAACTAGATCATAAATATAAATATGTTGATTAAACAGAAGATTTTTACTCAGATTAATGAATATTGATTGATTGATTGATTGATCAAGAGCTTTTACAATACTTTTGTGAAACACGAACTAAGACCAGTGTTAAAGAATCTAAGTAATAATTTGAACATATTAGAAGAATCTTCTTGTTTAGTATTTATGTCCATAATAATATCAAAGTTCAATAAGGACAATATTTTGCTTTTGTCGTCATAATAATATGCCCGTTACAAACAACTAATAGGAAATGACAGTCTATTGGAAAATACATTTTTTTTATTGAAAACCTATCTTGGAGTCATTTTAGTACTATTTTACTTTGTCAGTTTCTTCTGGAAATTTACAAACATTTTTATTAAAAAAAAGAATCAGCACGTTTATAATTGAAGAAAACATATTGTCAGATCTACACGTCAAGATTTGTTTTAAAGAATACTTCTTCTGAGTTTAAGAACACATTTCTTTTCGCAACAAGATCTATAGACATTTTTCGAAATAGACACAAAAAAGAACACTGAATATATATTCAACTGCTGTTTTTTCTATAAGCTGTTTCTTCGCAAACAATCATATTCATTGAAATTAGCTGAGGACTAATAACTATCATAATCGTACATTCCACTGTGTGAACGGATTCCATCTATATTTTATTCAAACCTCAACTTAAGTAACTGACCGAAATGAGTTTGACAGAAAAAATTCAGTTTTTCTTTTTTTCAGCTATTGAGAAGATAAAATACTGCCATTGGCGAATCTTATTCTTTAGAAAAAAACACAAGTACTATTGGACATTGTACTAAGATGTTAGAATTTGTTGACTGTATTGTCTACGTGTGTGGGATAAGTGAAACAAACTTATTAGCTAACGGCGTATTGAGTAAACATGAATTGAAAATAAGACATACCAGCGTGACCACCCAAAAAAACATGACTTTTTTTCAAGAACTTTATAGAAGAACCTCTTGTAACTTATGAACGATAATATAGAATCGAAGACTACAAGTATTCTAATGTGTCGAGGACTTTACGATGACAGATCGTATATTGATAACGTCTTGTTATGATAGATGAACTACTTCCTTATTGCATTTGCGCAAGATTAAATAAAAAGATTATGAAGAAGTGTGTCTCAAGATAGATAATCTTGCTGTGATTATCATGAGCAGCTATATCGTATTTCATATTTTAATCTTTCAGAGATTGTGTTAAATGTTTTTATTTAGGTCTTACAAGTGATTTATATTATTATGTAATTCTCTCAACTTTTGATACTTGTTTATGGATAAAAACTATGAATTTTACTGGTCGTTTAATTTATTTTGATTATCAAGAACGTGATTGTACATTTGATCATCAACAATCTTCTAATTTAAATGAAAAATCTTCATCATCATCAAAATCTAAACATCATACATCATATTATCGTTCAACAATATCATTTCGTAGCGATCATGATCATTATAAATTATCAAATTCTACTCAATTAATCACAAGTAATTCATCATTATTATCTAATTTATCAAATGATACAGATATAAAATATAATTTATGTAATAATAAAATGAATAAAAATAATGAATATTTTTCATATACATATTTTCTATCACAATTACCTAAAAATTATCAATTATATTCTCGTAGTTTATTTAATTCATTAAATTTAATTATAAATATACTTAAATCAAATATTATTGATTGTAAAACATTACGTATAAATGAAATAGAAAAAAAAATAATTAATTCAAATATAACTGATGTTAATATATATTCAATAAAAAAATCAAATTCAAATTTATATAAAACACAAATTGAACTTATTGGTAAATATTCAAGTATTCATGATGATTATCAATCATGTCAAACAAATAAACGTAAAGATTTATCACGTGTACAAGTAGTCTCATCATCATCATCATCAAAAATTTATTATATAACAAGTTTATTTGATGAACCATTTCTTATGTTACGTAAACGAACAACATCTGATACAAATGTTGTTCAACCAGTTATTGATTTAAAAAAATTACGTGGTCATACATTTGAGTTTCATGAGTTAGAAGGATTTTGTTTGGATTTAGCTGAAAAAGTTTGTTCAATTTTAAATATAACATGTAAATTTCGTATTGCTCAAGATGGAGGTTTTGGAAGTAAAAATGCTACAACAGGCACTTGGGATGGTGAGAAATATATAAAAAAAATCTTTGTATAGGTCATGAATTTTGAATATTTCTTTTTTCTTTGTTTGTTAAGGAATGGTTGGTGAAGTAGTATCTCGACTAGCTGATATGGCTATTGCTCCATTAACTATAAGTCAAAAACGAATGGAAGTTGTCGATTTTAGCAAACCTTTTATGAATCTTGGCATTTCTATCATGGTATGAATATTTGATTATGGAAGTAATAGAAACTTCAAAACTTCTTCGAAGGAAAATAGTGAATGTAAATTTTAAATCGAAGTTTTGCAACTCCGCTTACCTTTATAGCAATCAGAATCAATAGTCATTTAGTATGTTTTCATCGCAATCGAGGATAGCTTGTCCCTAATTCATTTCTCAGAATTTCCGAACTACGAAAAACTGTGCTGAACAGCATTAACAACAACATTTAGAATGCTATAGAATATTCCAAATCTTTCCTCGATATTTAAATTTCTCGAATACATTTGTACATATTCTAAGTAATGCAGATGAAAAATTATATTCAAGATAGCAAAGATAGAGATGTGTAGTTATTTCACATTGGCATCGGTGTTCACTAATTGAAGTATTGAAACACACTGCCACTACAAAAAAAAAAGATCTATTTTGATAGAGTTGATATAGAAAGATTCTTTAAAAATTAATTGATTTTTTTTTTCAATAGATTCGAAAACCTGAAGCACAAAAAGCAGGTGTATTTTCATTTATGAATCCTGTTTCAATGGAAATATGGTTATGTTTTTCATTAGCTTATTTTGCTGTTAGTGTTGTTTTATTTCTTACATCACGTGTTGTTAATTCTGGTTGGCGTCGACGTGTTGTTCGACGACCATCATATCGTTCATATTCATATCCAAAAAGTCTTAATGATAGACGTAAAAGTGAAATACAATTACAACGTCAAAAAAAAAATTCAAGTGAATCAATACATTCATCTGAAGTAGGAGTTCAATTAGCACAATCACCACTATCACCAACAACATCAAAATTACCAACTCGACGTCGACATCATTATCGAATACATCATAATATTCCTATTGGATTAAATGATAAAATAAAAACAAAAAAACAAAAAGATGAAGATTTTAAAAAAAGTGATGTTCATTTATTTGGAATTTCGAATGCATTATTTTTTTCATTTGCTTCATTTATGAGACAATCAATTAATCTTGTACCAAAATCATTATCAGGTCGTGTTGCTGCAACATCATGGTGGTATTTTTCATTAATATTTGTTTCATCTTATACAGCTAATCTTGTTGCTTCTTTAACTGTGGAAAATTTAGTTGCACCTATTGAAAGTGTAGAAGATCTCGGTAAGTAATATAAAACTTGTAATTGTTCAATTTATAATATTACAATGAATACAAATCATAGATATATATATAGATATATAGAATATACTTGTGTATTACATCAATATGTAGAAAGGAAAATAAGATATAATATCGAATAACTTAATGATTGACTAAAATGACAAAAAATTGAAGAAAAATTTTAATTAGTTCATAAGAGTTTTGATTATTATAAATTTTATTTAGCTAAACAACAAGAAATTAAATATGGATCAGTAAGAAATGGAACAACAGCAGCTTTTTTCGAAAAATCAAATGTATCAATTTTTCAACATATGTGGGCAGTTATGCAAAGAAGTTCATCTGAAGTATTAGTTGGTACGAATGATGATGGTGTTGCAAAAGTTCGAAGTTCAAAAGAAAAATATGCATTTTTTATTGAGTAAGTTTCTGTTAGACTTTCAAAAAACTATTATAATAGATTGTTAAAAAAAAAAAAAAAAATTTAGATCAACAAAAAATGAATATGTTAATGAACAATATCCATGTGATACAATGAAAGTTGGTTCAGATTTAGATTCCAAAGGTTATGGAATTGCGACAAGATTAGGTTCAGATTTAAGTGAAGCGATTAATATCATTGTAACAAATCTTCGAGAATTAGGTTTTCTAGATCATCTTAAACAACGTTGGTGGTATGTTTAGATTTTTATATTATTATCATTAGATTATTCTTTTTTGTTTTTTTTATTTTTATTTTGCAATTTAAAGGTTTGACCGTTCGGAATGTTCACAAACGGCAAAAGATAAGCGTTTTAGTGAATTAAGCCTTTCTAGTGTAACTGGTCTTTTCTATATATTTCTATTTGGTATTATGCTATCATGTATTATTGCTTTTACGGAATTTCTTATTACAGCTAAAGCTGAATCAGAACAATTACGAATTGATTTTCGAGAAATTCTTCGTATTAAAATGATCGAGTATGTTATTGTATTCATTGTTCATAGAAATTTCTTTCTATTCAAAAACAAATTTATTCTAGAAATCTTGTCGGTGTTACAATTTCTGCTCAGCGACAACTAGAATTTGGTCGTGTTGACAATGAATGTAATTATTATTATCAAAATGAAGAAGATGAAGTTGTTGAACATTATACACAACATCAATTGCAAAAACAACATAGTGACGTTTAATTAGTTTAAAAAAAGTTTCTTGTCGTAGAGATAGATGATAATGAATATTTTTTCTTGCATGTATCATATTTATTATATTGTGTTATGTATCAAAAAAAAAAAAAATAAATAAATGTTTTTCTTTGTGTTTATTACTAGAAGATTATTGTAATTAGATAGTAGGTTTACACTAAAAAACTATGTTATTAATTCTCAATATCTAGTTAGTAATAATATTTGAAAGTATTTAACTGAACGTGTATTGAAATAAAAATTATTTATTCTGCTACTAATTTTATTTAAGTTGTAAATTTAAAAAACTTTGAGCTTGAAACATAGATTTTATTTTCAAAAGCGAAAGCATTTTAAATAAAATATTTTTCTTAATTATCTTCTGGTTATGCTGTCGGACATTTATCACGATGAATACAAGCACTATCAGTACTATTATCTTCTCGAACATAATCTGAACAGGCACAGAAACATCCAGCAACACATTGTAGTGTACAAATTTGAGGTTTTTGATTACAAGTTTCAATACAAGCTGAACCACAAGTTTTATATTTTTCGTTTTCATTACAGCATTGATCAGGCGGAACACATTTACCATCATGTGCTCGATAGTATCCTTGCTTGCAAAAACATCCTGAACGGCATAATAAAATGCAAGGTTTAAGTGGTTTTGGTAATGGATAACGTAAGTCATCACAAGTCGAAGCACAAGCCGAACCACATGTTGTATATTCTTCATTGACACCACATATTGGTATGCCACTGGAATTTTTGCATTCTTCACGTTTGATACAAGGACTTCCAGTAGCATTCGATTGACGTAGATATCCATCCATACAAAAACATCCAAATTTGATCATTGTAGGACAAATTTTCGGTTTGAATGTACATGTTTCGATACATATTGAACCAAACGTATATTTTTCATTTGGATCACATCCAAATAATCTCGTCAATAGATCTAAAAAATGAAAATTCATAATCAAAGATAGAATATACTTGAGTATCTTTTACTTAGTGATTGACCAAAATCGGTGATGAGTAATAATAATATCATAACAATACGTAAAATCGATATCATCGTTATTTTTTGATTCAATTGAAGTTTAAAATGAATAAATTCTATTCTAAAGCTTTACTATAAATATATGTACGTATATTCTTTTCATAGCACTCCAATAAATAGAATATATAAAATACATTAAGAAGGTGTAAATTACATTGATTCGATGTCATGAACAAAGATCTAAAATAGATTCATAAATAACTCATTATGCGAGAATAAAACATACCGAAATGACAAACATAAGTTCTATGGAGTACAAATACATTCTAAATGCAAATCTAATAGATCATCTAAAAAATATTATGTTTCAAAAGATCAATTATTTCTTATTTTGAAAATATCATATTATCTATCTGATTTGTTGTATATTTTTTTTGTAAATGCAAGTTTTACAGAGTGAGATATAACGTCGAATAGATCAATAAAAATTGAAAATTCATAATCACACTAACAGAGCATATACAATGGCTCCGAAAATTATTCGACCGGCTTTATTATCGATTTTGGAGCGAGCGTGGATGCCAGTAAAAAGAAGATCGTCACATCCACAGCCTGCGTAACAATAGATACTTATTACTATTCACTGCTTTTTCAACATACAGATGCGTAGATCAGTAGGGTACGTCTTTTTCATAAACCACTTTTTTAAGTAACGAACGAGAACTTTCTTCTATACATAAGTGCGAAGAAATAATAATAAAAGTATTGTTTAGTGCTTGGTCACTTGCTTTCGTTCCTATCTCAAGTGATTGCTACATTATCATTACATCAAATGACTGATCAATTTTTCTTTTGTTCTGTTCTGTCGTCATCTAATAGTAAGATATGTGAGCAAACGATGAAACAAAGACAAGCCAATAGTGGCTCTGTAATCACATAGAAAGTAAAGAACGTAACGAATTTCCTATTACAAATAAACATTAGAGTTAAATTAAGCTAAAACAAGTGATATACTCCATGCTTCAGCATTGATCAGCATTTATCGAGAGAAGCCTACAACAAAATGTTGCTTCAAATATTACTTTGATGACAAATGCTCCTATCCACAACTAACGCAATCAAAGATTACAACTCGTTGTAATGCCTAAATATGAGAAAAAACACCACACTTCTCTAATCGTTTACGAGATATTTTTAGATATCAACATATAGTTTTTCAATTTTGTGGCGCAGTAATGTAGAGCTTGCATAGTCGGTGAAAATTTATTCGGACATTGTCATATTAATTTTATGTCTGTAAACGATAAAGCATTCTCATGAGTTCGATATGAAGTCTCGTTCGTTTTTTTAACAACTACACAAAACACGACGATTTTGAACTTGATGACTTTGATTTTTGTGAAGATAATTGCTGCCAGATCATAAACCTATCTTAACAGAAGCTCGACTTTTGCCAAATGAGCTTTAATTTAAGCAAGTGTTACTGTCATCTTTTGTAGTTCTTGTGAAATTTGAAATCTCATGAATCATCTGTCATATTAATTTTTAAAGTAACAGATGCTCATCAGTTCTAGTCAACGCAACAAAATTCGCTTGTTAATTTGTCTACATTTTTAGACAATGATATGAACTGCCTATTGACGTGCGAAGCATGAATTTCGAATTTTTCTTCTCGAGATAGAGAAATGTGGCTCAGAAGTCAATCAATAGGTAACTGAAGAAAAATTTTATGATAGTTCACATTATCGAGTCTTCGAGATATACCCTATAGTTGAAATTTCAATCCAGATTTGCATGCCTTGATGGTATTACAATCGAATCATGCCTTGCTTCATCATAGAAAAAATAAAAATACCCGATACAGGATGTTTGTGGGTGACGCGTTCCTTCTATTCTATCATGCGCGGACAGAGTGTGGGTGTAATTCTTCTCATCACACCCACACCCACACCCTTTTCAAGAGAAGCAAGTGCAATTCGAAAACCTATCAAATTTCTCGATACATTCCACTGTTCAGCTACTTTTCCATTGAATTCTTTGGAAGATATCAAAATTTCTCTATCAATTCTAAAACTGCTAAAATCATGATTTTTTTGAGTCGTCAAGGTAATACCATGTTTACTACGGTATTATACTAATTGTAAACGCAAACTCAATGCTGCAACTTGTCAAGTAAAAGAATTGATACAACATGAAGAGCTGATGTCAGTCTCGGACTGCTATTACTTATCAGTTTATTATTAAATCTTCCAATGTTTTCATATTAGTGTTTGCATGTCTACATTTCAGATAATCATATTCAACAGAAATTTCATATTTCACTGAGATGTCAATAGAAAACTGTATTACTGTTCTGTTGATGAATAATCTAAATTACTTTCAATCTTTGAGTCAATCCGATTCGATTGGACAATTATTTCATTCATTGCTTCACAGTAGAACCATCATTGATCAGTGAGTAAAACGGAGTGTTTCGATTGCAATACCGTTATCATTCAATGAATTGAAAGCAATTATTAAAGATCAGTTTCAACTGGATGAAGACGCAGTTATTGTTGCTCGATTCTGCAGAGATGGAATTGAATTAAGAGATGAAACATATTGTTTATTAAATAAAGAAGAGTGTTCACTGTCCAATATAATCAATGTTTACAGTATGAAAAATCCCATTAATGATGATGAACAAGATCAAAATTCTTACCGTTATCGTAGCGTCGAATTAAGAATTATCACATTAGACAGACAGGTTTACTACATCAAAGTATGCTGGATTTGGTCATTTCTTGAACTGAAACTCTCATTAAAACAAGAATGGCCATTACTATCAAATATTAATGTAAATGATATTCGCTTGTTTTATGCTGGTTCTGAAAAGAAAAATGATCGAATGTTGTGTAGAGTTGGTCTTGGAGGAGGAAGTACATTACATTGTATTATGCAAAAACAATGATGAACTTGTTCGTTTTAGACAGATTATTAAATCATAAAATTTGTTCGGTTGGTTCAAACGAAGAAAAATTATTTTTCATCTTAATTTAAATACTAAGATCATCGTAGAGACGCAATAACAGTTTTTATCGAACTCCACTAATACTAGTCGAGTGCGATGGTATCATCACACCCGTACAGCTAGAGTTACACTTTAATTTTCCCTTTCCATAATTCGATCCAGTAAGACGTAAAATCAACCAAAATATTGTTTGTTAGACTTTGCTTTCAAGGAATTATTCTCAATTTTCATAGAATATAAATTTCACGTTTAGCTTTATTATAGAGAATTCATTGACTTAAAAATCGATTTCAGGTTGATCTTCATAGATCACTGAGATGTTTAAAATATTCTATAATGCATAGAATTATAATGAAACTCTTATTTCTCAATTATTGTTATCAAACTATAACGTTCATTAAGCTTCATCATCTATTTAGTTGACTAACATCAATCTTTTCTTTGTTTTTCTTTTTTGGTAAGAATCGATTCATATTCACTATCACACATGACTAGAACATCTGATGAAATACAAAAACGAACAAATAACTCAAAGAGACACTTGCTGAATGAGTATGAGCAGTTGATAAATGATTATTTTAAGTTAAAAATCATATTTATTTAATTAGTAGATTTAATAATTAGCGGTGTTTTGCAATATAATTCAGTGTTCTTTTCTTTGTTATGTATGAGAGCGAGAATATAATAATGAAGAGTGTGTGTAAGTTTCGACATGCTTTGTCGCAGAATAGTTTGCTTTAAATACAATGTTTTTTTTTTGCATCATTTGACGTGAAAGATGTAGAGAAAAAGCGCAACATAATCAGTAATTCATTGTTGTGCAATGTAATATTATAATTTCATCTTTCATTTGGAATTTTTGATGTTTGTATGTTTCTTTTAAATATGAAACCAAATCAATCATTTGTTCTTCATTGATTTTCTCAATTGAAAATATTGACCATAATCTCTTCTTTATAAGATTAATCCAATCGTCAAGAGTTACACTGTCATCAAATGTATACTGATATGTATCATACTTAATATTTGTGAATCCACACATTTCTAATTCTTGTACATAATTATCAATAGAAGGGGATACTGATTTATGTATCTCATGTGTACGCTTATCCAATGGGAAGATTTCTTTTGGTGCACGTGTAACAATGACTAATTTGTTATCATTAGAATTCAACTGTTGACGGAAACCTTTAAAAGCTAATAATCTTTCACTATGCGATAATAGATGAACACAGTGTTTCAATAAAAGACGATTATACGCTGGTAATTCTTTCTGTTGACTGAATATAACTGCATCCATACAAAATGCTTGAACAATATTGGTTAAATTTCGTTCTTTTATTTCGCTGTTGAAGATTTCAATCATACCTAATGATGGATCACATCCAATAATCTTTATTTCATTGTTCATTTTATTTAAGAACCATAGACAATCGATTCCCGATCCACAGCCAACATCAGTTAAAATATGATCACGTTTAAGATCTAATACATCAAATATTATTGTATTTAACCATTGTCCATGAGATGATGAAGGAGACTGAAACAGCGGCTCTACATGATAGTCGGATGCAACATTTGTGTAATGTTGGAATAAATTATACACATTTTGGTTTGAATCAGTAGACATTACTTTTTCATTGAAGTATTCAAATAACAATACTTGTAGAATTTTTTAATATGCAATTTTACTAATATAACCTTTATATCAATAAAAAAGAAAGAAAAAAGAGAAGATGAATTATATAATATAGTTCTAAGAAATGAGCAAAAAGAAAGAGATAAAAAAACCTTAACTCTGTCTTGTATTTTGCTCATGTAAAAATTGCTTTTGCAGCATAGTTCTCGATTAGAATTTCTAAAGTGAGAATGGGTTCAAATCTTTTTAGTAGATGATGATCGCCAATTTTTTGTTTCGTGCTCAAGACTCGATTGTTAAAGGGAGTTTCAGTGCTTTACATTTTTTCGACATATATTTTTTCTATAACTGATTTCAACGGTGAAAATGGTCTTGCCATCTACTTATTTCTTTATCAAAAATATCGAGAAAGCTGCTACTCGATCAGTCACTGTCGCACATAGTGGAAAATGTTATGGCCTCCTCCCGTCAAAAATTGATCTCATCCTAGTGCGTTTAAATGGACTGAAATTTGGAGCATATGCTGTGACTGACGTGAAGAGACTGTAGTAAAATTTTCAGCTCAATACCATGACGTTTGATAGAGATACGAACCAAACAAAGGTGAAAAAAATAGCTCATTTTGCGACGAAGATTTCTCGGTCCAGGCTCTTCCAACATATTTAAATTTTTCTTTGTTTGAAAGAGCATGTCAGGATACAGGGCACCACAGAGTCCTTTTTTTTTAAATTCTTACTTTTTTAGCAGAGGAAGAGGCTCACAAGTCCAATGACTCAAAAAACGCGCCAAAAATAGATATTCAGCTACATAAGTATCTGTATATATAATAAAAAACAAAGCTTAATTTAAAAAATGACTCTATGGTTCCCTGCGTCTTGACGTGCTCTTTCAAATGAAAAAAAATTTACATATATTGATTGAAGATCCACCGAGAATTCTTCGTCAGAAGATCAAAATGTCATAAATCCAGGAATAATGAAAAACATTTTTCGAACTGAAATTTTTCAAGATTTTTCTCGTTTTCGACGGATTTTTGATATATTTGAAGAGAATAATCACCAACTATCATATATCTTCGTGAAGTCTATATAAATACACTTCTTCGTCGTGGCTTACCGAGTTTCATTACATAAGTGGTTCTATGTTCTACGACATAATTACATTGGATTTGGTCGGAAACATTGTGCTGCGATCAACTGTACATTGCCTCGATCCAAAATGGACATGATAGGAAGAAAGAGCAAGCAAATAAGCGAGCTGGAGAGAAAGAGGACGCACCGAAATAACGTCATTCATGGCAGATTGAGATAATCCACCCCAAGAAATAAAAGAAGGTGGAACGAAGAAGAATAAGTAACAAATTATTAAACAATTTTTTTATGTGATCTTTTTTGTTATATCTTAATTTTTTAAATAAAGGTTTTTTCTTGTCTATCAGCGATTCGATTTCTCATTTTTTTCTGTATGAACTTTGATTTTTGTATAACAATTCATAAAACTTGCTAAAACGTCTGTACATTCCATTAAAGTACTTATTTTTCATGCAAAAACTTTAAAATCCATTTTTTCTGGAAAAATCGTGTTTTTGATCAGCTGATTACAGAAATCATCAAAGTTTTTCACCAAAGAAGAGATGTTGGAAAAAAATTATATCATTTCTGACAGATTTGAAGAAGGGCTGTCTTCCCATGAATTTATCTCAATTTCGAGAATTCTGACGAAAATTGACCTTTTTCGAGGGAGCGGGGAGGCCTTAAGACGTAATGATACTTGGCAAAGCTTTGTTCACTCTATTATCATAAACTGCACAATAGAATCTATATGCGGTGAATGGTCTGTGCTTCGATGCAATAGTTAAAAATAGATATGTCAATGTTTTTATAACATCTCTTCCATGCAATATAAATCCGATGAAAACGTTGAAAACTAATGTGAATGATTGTTCGTAGGTTTACAATGACTCACAGCGAGTCAATTCTAGTCACATGTCTATAGATATGGGACACTGCGTAATGGACAGTCATCCGCTATTCATTGCGTTTCTTAATTATTGTTCTCATTCTGCTATTCCCATTATTGCGCAGGTAAATGAGTACTCTATAAATCCATCAATAAATGCTGGTTATCTTTACAGTTTCAGGGTTTCTTTATTATGAAACTTTCAGAGAGTTCTTCGTAGTTTTTTAAAGCTCCAGACGGATCAATATGTGTGAACTATACAGAAAATACGACGAAGACTCCTCCACAAAACGACGCAAAGTTGATCTTTTTAACTCTCATGATTAAATTATGGTACACATTGTCCTGAAACCTGTGCTACTGGTTTTTCTCAGTAGGAAAATTTATGGATATATATAATAAAACACATTATTGATTATACAGGATGTCCCATGAATAACTAAGTGATAAAAACAGTGGAATATATCCGGCCGGTTTCATGCAAAGCGACCGAATTTTTTATCGATGATAGAGATTCATTCAAAGCTCCTTTTGATAGGAGAAACGATGACAAAAAAACTTCATTGAGTCATTTTTATTGTTTTCAATAGGAAAATTTGATGTTATGCGAGTTCCAAGAGACAATGTATCTTATAGAGAGTGTGTTATAAGCCACTTTTGGAAGACAAACCGTCACACACACTCATTATTTTCTATCTAACTAAGATAATGCTTTTTTCAAATTATAGAGAAGTATTTCTACTTTAGGCTTTTTTGATAAAAAAAAACAACATATTCTAGGATTTTAAATTATAATGAAAACCGATAATTTCTATTTGGTATTACTCTTAAGCAGATAATACTAAAGTATTACAGGTAATTTTAATATTAATGCATGAATCATTAGCATCATTGTAATACTAATGCTAATCTGACATTCGTATGCATACTCCCTCAACTATCTGAATATCAAGAGCCTGAATTAACAAAAAAGTATTAGTGAAGCAGAGGAAGACTTGATGGAGAAGAAAGGAATAAAACTATGGGGATTATAGGACGAGCTGGTATCTGATGACTTCTATTTTACCAATATCGGCAATAGCGAGGGTTAATTTTTAGTGGTCGCTGCTTGCTTATCTTAAATGGTACGGTTGACCATAAGGGAAGTTTTACATTCATTTTTTCGTTCTCTTCAAGCGTACTCTTTTTAGTGAATCTCATTTCTGTATTATCTTCACTCATTGAGAGGTTGGATTACGATGGACGAATGAAATATTTATATAGTAAAGCCTTTCTAATGTGAACACGAACGGGAATATCTAAAAGTATTCATTATATAGAGATTTTTCCTTATTTTCGCACAAAAGAGTTTCTATGGTCTGGAGTGATTCAATGAGTCCAAGCACTCGTTTCATATCTATTTATTTTTTCAATTATATGTTCAATTTCGCTTACGAAAAGCGTCCAACTTTCTTCAAAAAAACCACTCAATTTTGCTTTGCTTTGCTTTGCTTTGCTCTACTGTTTTACTCATGCGATAGATGTCAGTAAATTGAAATCTACTTTCGAAAGCTTCCAAGCCGTGACTTGTGGTCGCTCTTGATTAGTATCTTCTTCATCTGTTTGATCGATGATCATATTGAACAAATGTCCTAATTCATCGTCCGATTCATTCAAAGAAGGAGCTTTTGAATCCATATGGACGAAATTGGATGTTCTCATCTAATGGCTGTCGATGATCACGTGTTCAACAAGAGAATTGAGTTCTTTGAGAGCATGATTGTTGATCTTGTCTTTGCCTACAATGAGATCTTTATCGTCCACAGTGGAGTGGGGCTGTGTCGATGCGAAGTGTATGCGGATTGATATAAATCTGACCCTCTCAAGCACTGGTACACCTACACGCAGATATACGTACACCAACATCCTATAAATTCGTAACTTAATCCTTTCGCTTTCGTAATCCCATATAGATGTGAAGACTCATTTGGAACTAATAATGTCATGATTATTCGATATCCTGTTTTTGCAGTTAAGCGAGTTCGAATCATTTATTTTTCTATGTTAACATACATTTACATGGAGACTACAATTATTTGACATAGATTATTTAATAACCTGTGACCTTTCTTCAATCATATTGATAGTATTCTACATGCGTATATATTCATAATTATTAATCATTTTTGTCGTTGCTTTCTTGTTTCAGATATGCGATTATAGCATTTATATTAATCAAACTTCCATGACGACCATAATAACTTTCATATTAACTTTCGTTCAAATTGTTTGAGAAATTATTTGCTTCACATTTAACATTTATATCGAAAATTGGTGATAAAGCTGTTTCATAAAGATGTTTGTCTTTATATAATATATGTTCATTGAATTCACCTTTAAAATCGGTCTCTTCTTTTTTAATATCAAGTGGAATGTTATCGACAACCACAATGAAAACATGTAAAATTTTATCCATTATGTTCCCCATAGATGCGGACACCCAGCGTTGGCATTATCAGTACTGGTGAAATTTGAACAACTCTTGTTGGCAGAGGTAACATAATCGATGTTGGTCCCATCATCTATAATTAACGATATGTTTTAATTAGTAATAAAATACTTTGATGCCGATATCTAATTGTTTTGGATGCTTATAGGTTGAGATATTTTATGAGGTTTTTGTTGTACACATGTTTGTTAAGGTGTGTTGTTAGTTGATATCTACATGTACGGGTTAAAGTTGTGTTCTGTATGAGATAGATGAACAATCGGTACAGAAGAAAACTTTAATAGCCGAAATCAGCAGAGTTCTGCCCAACTGTTCATCAAGGAAATTGTTGAGCCTACGCAGAAACTGAATAGCTGTTATATACATCGAATTAACCGACACACGGTAGTGGGGGGTGTCAATTTATGCATAAATTAAATTATCAGTAATCTAAATTTAAAATAAATATAATTTATTTGCACTTATTTAACAATTTAATAAATAATAAATTAAATTAAATTATTCTATTTCTTTTTTATATTTCATTTCAGTCAGACGAACAAGG